CATCCCCACTTACTTCTGTGAGTAATTAATAAAATTCAATTTTAATTAAAAATTTTAATTAAAATAAAATTAAATAATTTTATGGAATATGCACAAATATATTAGTAAATACGATATTTAAGTATATGAGTAAACATTTTTCAAATTAAAAATTTTTAACAAAGTCTTAAATAAATATTAAAATACAATATGTAGAATAAAATATGTTAGTGCTTAGGTACTGCAGCACTAACATAAAATATAAAGCATCAGAACAATTAATTTTCATTCTCGAAACACTTCAATAATGTTGACAATAAAACAGTTATTGTTATATTCTAAATAACTTATAAGTAAATAATAAAGTATTGCTTATAAAATCCAATTTTATATCAAATTTAACTATTTGTGTTGAGAAGGTGAGTAAAATACTTTAACTTTAAGTAGTTATCAGTTATCATATAACAAATTTGTAATATATTGTAAGTAGTATTTAAATTCATTATAGGAAAACAATATTTCGAATATGTGTGATTCACAAGGAAATTCCCCAATTCATGTTGGCTGTCTTAAAAAAATTTTTATTTTAAAATCTGTATTGCAGAAAAAATCCAAATCAATTTTCAATTAAGTAAATATATATTTTGTTTTCATTATTATACTTAATGCCTGAAATATATTTTAAATTGAAAATATTAAATATTAAACATATTATAAATATAAAGAAGATGAATAGATTTATTTTTATTTCTGTAAATATTTTTTTTTAAATACTTACTTCCTACCTACATATAGGTATCACCATATTCACTATATATTTATGTATATGTTTAAATAATATTGAAATACAGAAAAATTTCAAAATCCTTAAAAAAAATTTCATTTTAATTTGAAAATTTTTATTTTTAGATTTTATTTATTGTTTTTTTTTTCTCCTAGCATAAAATTTTATAAATTTTGAATGAAAAATTGTGGCCAAATATATTTTTTTTTTAATTACTTATAAGTATAAACAAAATACTTATTTTTTTTTTTCTATTTTACTATTTTTTTTTTAATTATGAATTTTCAAATTATTATACGTATTTATTCTATTAATAATAATTTAAATTTAATATGAAATAATGATTTTTTTTTTCATTTCTCATAAAATGATCAATTAGATGACCTTCCTATTAAAATTATAAATGAGTCTTTAAATGAAAAAAATTTATTTTGAATTGATACACATTTAAATATTATGCGCATCTAAAAATAATTTGGCAAAAAAAAAATTATTTTTAAAATAAGAAAAAAAAAATTATTTTTAATTAAGCACTTGTTGCGTACTTTACTTATACTTGCTAAAAACAAAAAATAATTTAATTAATAAGTGTAATATTTGATAAATTAAAATAAATAATTAAGTATATATGATTTGTGTATATATGTAAAACTTTTTGGTAAATAAAATATGGAATGTTATTTTTAATAACACTTATATTTTAATGCTAACTTTAAATGAGTGCTGTAAGGCAATTTGAAAATAACGTTCATACAATATATAAATTTAGGTTAATATAACAGTTTGTCTCAAATGGCGCCTTAAAATTTAATATAATCAAATCGTAATTAATCTTATTTACTTAAGTATTTATTAACTGAAATAATAATAAATACTTAATAATTACTTACTTATTAAATGAAATTTTAAAACTGTTATAATTAATAATTTTAGATTTTTTACTATTATCTTATAATTTTAAATTTATAGTTGCACCAAAAAATGCATAGAAAACAAAAAGTGCCTATACTAAAATATTAAAAATATTTTAATGTTATCTTCAAATATAAATAAAATAATACAACCAAATTACACAAATAATTACTAAAACGTTGTATTTTAAAAGTTTATACATAAGTAAGTAGTTAAGTTTCATTCCATTTTAATAAAAATTGATTAGATAAATTTAGAAAATTTCTAATACTTAATGAAAATAAATATAAGTGAATGCAATATGTACGTGTACAAATATTTTTGATAATAATTTTAAAACTATAATATTTTATACTGAAGAATTTAGACTTCAATCATTTATTTCTATCATAATTAATTCTTTAATGTGTGCTTACTTAATTATATTTATACTCTGAACTTATTAGAATATCCAATAATATATTTTTAAGACAAGAAATAAGCGAATTCTGGGGCTGTTTTTAAATAAGTAAGTGAATTAATTTAAACAAGTATTTAACACTTTATCGACCGGTAGCCTATTTATAAGCTTTTCGATTTCTTACGTTCATCGACCGGCTTTTCGATTGCCAGAGATTATTGACCGGTAGTCTATTAATCGGGTTTTAGTTATCGACGGTTTTTGTCAGTGGGTTGCTCTTTTTATAACTTTTTATAACAAAAGGAATAAGCACAACACAATGCATAGTGAAAATTTAGCCGGTATTGGGAGTAAATTCGGGCGCGACTTAACCGATACTTACTGAGTGGCAGCCTCAACCAAAACCGGTCGATAAAATAAAAATTAAAAAATAAAATGTTAAAATAAAAATTACAAAACGAAAAAGAAATTGTACCGGTATTTAATTTTTATTTTTTATTAATAATCAGATTTTATTATTTAAATTTAAATTTTAGCAAAATTTTTTAAACATTTGCATTTCATTTGAAATAAAGTACTTAGTTACAAATTGGCGTGAGTAATTGTAATTGATGTTAATTTAAATTGACAATTCAAATAATAATTTCATTTTTTACGTACAATAACAAACTATTAATAAACTATTTTCACATTTCATAAAACTATTTGCATTTACGTATATTTATTATGGATATTTCAATTTCATGAATTTATTTAAATATTTAATATTATATGAATCATCAAAAATACTTAATTATAAACGTTATTTTCAAATTATTCCTTTATTTTCTAATTTATTATAAAGAAATCATCCACTTCTAAATAAAATATGAATGTGTATATAAGTATATGCTTACACCTGTAAAAAGAAATGAAATCATCAAAGATTAAGCAATTCAAAAATAAAATGAGAAAAAGAAAATGGAAAAAATATTTATGTTATGTGTACAAGACAACAAAAAAAAAATGAAATACTTATCCCTTACCATCAATTTTAACAGAAACAATGAATTTAAAAAAAGAAAAATGGAATGGTAATCATGATACAAGGAAATAATATACCGAAAGATTTGCTTTTTGTAAGTAATCAATTTCATTTAGAAAAAAAGGAAAAGATAGAAAACTATTTCACATTTCATGACGTAATGTTGCGGTAGGAATTAAAAGAAAACTATTTAAGTATTAAAATTAGAGTATGATAAAGTTGAAATATTGGAAAATTTTTATTTTAAAAAACTTGTTAAGTCTTTTAAAAACATTTATTTTTAAGAAATTTCAATTGTAATATTCATAATCAATACAAAATTTCGTGAATAAATACTAAGTAGATCTTTTAAATTAAATTAAGACTTGAAAATTATCATAAATATTCTAAATATTAAATTTCCTTGATGTTCAACAATTAATAAATTTAGTATCTAGCTTCTTATTTAAAAGAGAAAATGCCTAAGAATTAAAAAAAAAAATTATTAAATTAAGTATAAATTTAATAATACTAGTTACTAAATAAAAGTTTATAAAGATATTTAAGAATCATCGGCACAAAAAATTTTCTTATTGAAAAATCTCCCGCGTAAATAATCTTTATATTAATTAGGCATATAGATTCTATGATTCATTGTCTCTTTAATTTTAAATAACTAAATACTTAAGTAGTGACTCAATTTTTAAAAAATTTGAAATGAAAATAATAAGGTGTGAAATACGAAATCAGTATAACAGAATAGTAATATTTTATAATGCCTAGTATGTTAAGTAGTCATTTTACTTATCTAAAATTCAATTCTTGTACTCTCAACTAATCTGTAATAATTTGTAATTTATATAAGTACGCATACCTAGTATACTTACATTTCAGCCTTGACTATTATTATGCAAGACAGGAAATAAACTTTCATTTTCATTCGTAAGTATTTTTTAATACATATTATTATTGAATTTAGAAAATCAATTCCAATAGTACAGACAAAAAGATATTAATACTAAAAATAAGTAAGCAAAGTATAATTGTTTGTAAGTAGTTTAATTATATGTTTATTTTCTTTCGGTATTTTATTTCCGCGCACCAGAAAATAAAATTTTCATTGTGTACCTACTAACAATGAAATGTTTTTATAAAATTTATCAGCTGTTTGTCTACACAATTTTATTCATATTTTCTTCTTTAATTCTATTTTACTTGCAAAAAAAAAAGATGCATGTTAAATATATTATGTGTAAGTGAGTTGATATATATATATACTTAACTATGTAATAAAGAAATGCTGATGTCCATTAAGTACTTATAATACATTTAATGCCAAAAACATAAAAATTTCTTAAATGTTTCTAGGTCAGTAGTGGGTACTGTAATGGATGTATTTTGTTTACCTATCTTTTCTACGGTAAAATATAAAAATTAAAGTATGTATTTTAATGAAAATGTTTAATGTGTTTTAAAAATAACATGTAAATGTAAAAAAAAATATAATTGAATTGCTTAATAAAATTAATTACAATGAATAAGTAAAGTTTATGCTTAATTTATAAATTCAGTTCCTACATGTGTAAATAAATATAAAAAAAAATTAGATAGAAAATTTTGTGTTTATTTTCAAATTGTATTTAATATATCTCTACCTAAATATATATATATATATATACCTACTTAGCCTATATGGATATCTACCTACTTAAAAATAATTAATTGCATTTGAATTCACTCACTATTATTTAAAATTATTTATTTATATATAGTTATAAATATATTTTTGTACTAAAATTTAAAAACAAAAAAAAAATTTCTAAATTTATATACCGCTTTTCAATATTCTGTTTTGTATAAATATATATATATATATATATTTACTTATATAAATTATTATTAAACTGTGACTTTGAACTTACCGATGGCAATGGAATTGTGACACATCCAATGCTCCGATTATATAAATTTCTTATTGTTCTATGTAGATATTAAATACAAAATAGGTATGTTGATATATAATAGATGATGTATTGTATGTATGCATAAAAAAAAATTTCAATTTTTTTTTTATTTTATCCTTGAGTGCTTCAGTATTACAGTTTTAGAATTTCTTCTTAAATATTTCTTAAATTTACCTTTTAAATTTACTCTTCCTTCTAAAAAATTTTTTTGTTATATAGATTTATAATTTAAATTAATCCAATTTAATATTTTGTATATTTGTATATATTATTTATAAATTTATTATTGAAAGACTTGCTACAAAATTTATTTCAAAAAATTTTCTTAATGGCATCTACTTTTTTTTTTTTTTTTGCAATGAAATTTTTTTCAAATTTTTTTTCCTACTAAACCTTCTTTGAAACTACACAATTTTTCTTTTTCTAGACAAAATTGATTATTTTTCTTTTTTATATAAAAAATATTTACAAAATTTTTCTTATATATTATTATTTTTCAAAATTGATTTCAACTTATTCACTAAATAATTAATTATATTTTTTTAAAAAATAATTATTTTATTTAAATAACAAAACAAAAAAATAAATTTTCACGACCATCCGAAACTACACAAGAGAAGAAAAGAAATTCTTTCCTTTATGTTTGGTTTTTATTTTACAAAAAAAAAAAAAAGTTGTGCTATTCATATGTTTTTGACATATTCCAATTAGATAAAAGGTTTATTGGGTTTTTAAATCTATATTTTGTTTTTGTTTTATTGATTTAGAAATAAGTGAAGAATAAGTTCTTTTAAGTGATTGTGGCGCTATCATGCGATTTATGTCAATAATTATTTTACGAAAAAAAATTAAGTTACCTGTTTACATGCTATTTTTTATTCGGCATTATTTTAGTTTACTAATTAATTGAAATTTTTTTGCAAGATTCATTTGAAAAATTACACTTTCAGAAATAGTTTATTAGTAAAAAACGTGTATTCGAAATTATAGTCAAAATAAAATTTAAAGCTTCTTCACGAGACACAGATTTTAATTTTAAGTCAGTCATATTATGAAAAAATAATGATGGTAGTATGTCATTTTATTATTAAAAAATTAATAATATAAAAGACATTAAGCTTACAATTTTAAATTAATTTTTTAAATTAAAGAATCTATGGAATTTTAATAAATTGTCATTACATAAATATATGTCTTACATAAAATAGGAATGTCAAAAAACATTTGTATCAAATTTGTAATTTATATTTAAATTAAAACTAAATTACCACTACTTCATAATAGATGGCACAACAAGAAATTATTCAAAAATTCATGTTATTTCTGTTTTTAAAAAATTTCGAAATGGACATAGTTTTTTCAAAAATTAAATTTTTAAAAATTTTTCATACGTCAATTTTTTAATAGGTTCACTTAATGTCATTATTCATTAATTATGCTTTCAAACAAGTAAATTAAAAAAAAATGAATTTTAAAAAAGAAAAATCACTAAAATTATTAAGTGAAAGTGTTCATGTAATTTGAAATTTAAATGTTTTCTTTTTTAATAATATTACATTGTATTTGATTTTATAGAAAGAATATGAAATTTTCCAGAATATTCTAGTTCAAATTGATATTGCATTAAATCAAGGAAATGCAATTGCAAAACTTTTGCAAGACTATACTTTGAAATCATCTGAACATAAGATTGCCGACGTGTGCGTAATTATTTAGCTATGATTTTAATATTAAATTGAGGATATTCATATTACAAACCCACATATTTGCTTCTAATTGAAAGTTTTACAAAACATGCAATGTATAAAATTAAATATTTAAATTATTGTAGAAATAATTGTACCATCTAAATGCATTGATTGAAAATAAGCTTTCATTTAAGGTTTCTCAAATATTGAAAATAAGTTATTTAATAAAATTATTTTTGAAATAGCAAAAAAAAAAATTTAAATTTTGCAGGCAAACTGAATCGAAGTTGAATGCACTGAATCACGCTGTTCTTTACAAACCAAATGGTGGAGATATAATTGAATTTATTTATGAGACAGGTGAAGCAATAAGAACAGAACACCAAAGTCAAGGTTATATTGTATATTTAATTGATGAAACCAAGAAAAAACTTTTTATATGTCCTGAAAACGTAAATAAGTTCTTTTCAAAGCGATTTGCTTTTAACATTGGTATGATTTTAAAATTAATGAAAGATTTTTTAAATTTATTATAATTTATTTCTATTTGGAATCTGGAATATGTCCCCAGATCTCGACAGGACGACAGCAACACATGTTTATAGAGAGAAAAAGCCTCTAAATCTATCAACATTTAAATGTGATATAAGATTTCCTAATTTTCAAAAAATTCCAGAAATTAGTCCAACAAACATAGCAGCTTTTCCAATGACTGATTTCGAAAATAACACAATTGGAGTTTTTGAAATATTTCGTAATGATTGTGTTTCATATGACGAAGTATAATAAGCCTACATATATGCATTTAATCCTTTTTAGATTAATGCTAAAAGTGGCAACATTGACACACATACTTATGTTTTTTTTGTAGAATGAATTTCAAAAATTTCAATTTTTGTCAAAATGGATAGCTGAAGGAATGCAACGAAATAAGGAAGCTGTAATATATAAAAGATTTAACAAAATCATTGAAACATTAATGAAAAGTTTTAACGACGATATTGAGAAAGGATTTTGTAAGAATGATGATAAATTTTTAAGTAAACTTTTGGTAAGAGCACCTTGATCTTCAAAAATAAAGATTTCAAGTTGTAGCCATTCTAATTTTACTTTACCGGTACTATTTGAATTGGAACCGGAAAAAATTATCAATTCTATCAACTTTCTGGAATTTTTTTTATAATTAACAGCTTTTAGCGAAACTAACTTTAGATGCAGAAAGTGCGACAATATTTTTGAAAAATAATGATAATGAATTGTATAAAAAAATAAGTACCGAAAATTTAAATTATTTAGGCTCTTCCAAACAGAAACTGAGGTTCGAAATTTTAAGGATTAATTTTATTATTTTAAAATTTCAATTTTTAAAATTATATTTTTAGGCTAGAGAAAGAACTTCAATTAGCAAAACTTGCTGTGGATTCAAAGGCTATAACAAATTATATTGATGTTTTTAATGAACCAAGGTTTAATATTGAAATTGATTTAGAAATTGGTAAAATTATCCGAACGGCTCTTGGCACTGTTATTAAGGAAAATCAATCAAATAATTCATTGGGAGTAATTCAAATTTTGAATAAAATTCATGGTGATATTTTTACAAGTACTGACAATGATTTTATTCGAGTATTTAATGAATATTCCTGTTTATGGTTTCGATATAATGCGATTTTTCAGAAATTATTCAAACAGGTTTTGAATTCAATAGTTTATCAACTCAACCAAACAAAATTAATTGCTTTTTTTTTTAGAAAATTTTGAATGATATTCTTAAGGATTTAATTTATAGGCAATGGTCAACTCCCATAAAGTTGGATGAACAATTTGCTTTTATTGAGAAAATCAATATACCAAGTGAATTTTTAAGGTAAAATATTTTAGAATATCAAAACAACATTTTATAAAAATTATGATTTTTTAAATTTTAGCTTCGAATTTTATCCATTTCCCAATTATAATACTGAAATAACAAAATTTACTTATTATATAATGTTAACAATGTGCAAAGAAAATTTATTAATTAATCATGAATCATTATATAACTTTGTAAATGCTGTAAAGAAATGTTATTTGGATTCAGAATTTACGAATTTCAAAAATACATTTATTGCAATACATTTTGTATTTGTATTTGTTAAGAAATATGAAGCAGAATATTCTTCTTTGTTATTTACAAATAATGAGGTAAAATTCATTGAAAATCACATGTTAAAAATTTTGTCCCTTGCAATGATTGTATACCGTTTCACGATCTTTTTTTTTTTTTGAAATTTTATTTTAGAAATTGGCTTTAATGATATCATTACTTTGTTTTCAAATAGATTGTGATGGCAAATTAATATTATATATTTCGCGCAAACGAAAATATTTACTAGATTTATATGAAAATTTTCCAATAGAACGACATCAAATTTGGTTAACTAAATTATTATTGAAGGTAAAGTTATCACGCAACATAATCTATCATAATAATAACTATAAAATCTCGGATCTCATTAGATTTCCGGGCTATTAAACAATTTGCCGAAAAAAGACCAGGATGAAATTTATAAAATGATTGAAGAAAATATTTTAAATTTAAATATACAACGACAAATACTATTATCAAATAAACTTTTTAATATAATTAAAGAAAAAGTATTTGATGAAAATATTATCGAACATGGACTTTTACTCAGAAATTTGATAATGCGATATGCTACGTATGCATTTAGTATTAAAAAAATTCCAATTGCAACAAAAATTTATAAAGATCTTCAGAATCAAATTAAGAGAGAAATGATGTGTGGAGATGATACAAATTTAGAATCTGTTGAAAAAAATTCCGCAGAAGTTGCTAATTTATTGATGATTTGCTGTACTGGATCAGATTTAAAAATATTAGTTGAACTTTTTCCATTTATGCACAGTATTTTAAAATTATATTGGTAAGTTTTCTAATTTATAATTAATAGAGAATTAGTTTACTTATTTAATTTAGGTTTTCAATAAAATTAATTTCAATTAATTTTCACATAATTTCAGTAAATTTTATTATATAGTCTTGAACGAAAAGTGAATTCACAATAAATGCACTTTGGTGAACAGTATCAAATTGAATCATTAATTGCTAATTTGTAAATTTTAAATCTTCAGTTTATTATTTATGAACTTATTAAATCTTTGTTTTTGGAAAAAAATTTAATAAAAGTCTAAATTGATGTCTTCCTCAAGATAATTTTAATTGTTACCGTTCTTTAAAATTTAGTTTTAATTGGGAAAAAATATAAACTTTCGAACATAAACACTAATATATTAAAAAGAAGTAATGGTTATTTTGCGGCATTGGCTTGTATTACGATATGATTAAATGTATGTCTTAACAGTTCAAAATACTAAAATTGAATAAATATTATTTCGGTGGAATATTAGTATTCGGTGGTTGTATGAGTGTTTTATAGAATATAGAATGTGTGCATAAATAGTATAGTACAGTACATCACGTATACATGTATATATAGATATTGAGCATTAAAAAATGGTTTGTGATAAAAAATTTAAAAGATAATATTTTCCATTTTTGTTTTTAATCTTGAATGTATAGCGAAAATATCTTGAATTTCGGTTTTATTATAATGTTTTATAACATTATTCATTGATTATACGACTACATTTAAATGAACCAAAATTAAGAATGAATTATTTTCAGTTTCTCCTTTTAAAAATAATATCAATTATAATGTGAAAGATTTATAGTGTGATGTTTTATGTCCTCTAAAGTAGTAAAACAAAAATCAGGTTCGAATAAAATTTTCCAAATACTACTGGATCTAATGAAGAAATTAAAATTAGTTTTATTTTTACATGAGTGTCTTATAATATTGGAATTAATTAATATGTTTAGAGATTTTAAACCTAGGCTTTGTAATCAACATTAAATCTATTTATTTACAATGACATTGTAAAAATTCAAAATGAAATATCAAAAATCCCCTAAAAATAATTAAACTAAAACTTAATTTTTTTTCTAAATACCTAAAAGTATAGTGTTGGTTTATACAAATTGTAGGCGCAACAAAAATAGATTTTCGTCAACAAGACTAGCGTATCTAATAAGTTAAAATAATGTTTTAATGATTGTTATGAATATTCCAATAAAAATAAGTATATTTAATTTGTAAATTGTATTTTACATGCTCTATATTATAAATATAGCAATTTACAATTTTTTTTGTCCATACACTTTTTGGTGGATTCCCATAAAAATTGACAGTATACTCGAAATAAAATGTTCGTTTTTTGATAAATTAGTCAAATATTTTGACAAAAATATTGCAAGTAATTAACATTAAGTTTTTTTTTCTCCGATTCCACAAAAATTCCAAAAAACCGGAAGGGTTTAAACTTTTCATTATAGTGAGAAAATAGTTTTGTTTTCAATAGTCAAGGGGGTTTTATGTTTTTTTGTCTTTCTTTGTTCATTCGGTGTGAGAGCATACGACTTCAACAAATCTGCTGAATTGTACCCTGTTTTTGGCTGGGTAATTTATTTTTGACCGCCATTTTCCATTTGAATCGGCCTCCTTAATTGTATTTCGGCCATGAGTTACGGACTCATTCCATCTTCCTTTTCCCGTTTGGATTCCAACCTAATATCTACCTAGATATCGTATTATTCGATCTCTCTTACGCGTGTCCCAGTAATCACTTCTTTTTTTGGACATAGAATTTTACGAATGTAGAATTATATGAAGATAGTCATATAAAATTTTGTGTTCGGTTTATCTAAATTTTGAAAGAGCATATAACTTTCATTAGTAGAATGTATTTGCAAATGTTTTCTTCAAAAAATCCAACATATTGAATATGATTGCGATAATATCGTATTTCAGATGTGGCCAAAATTTATTTTTAAATTTTTTATTAATACGTAATTTAATTTTCTTTCTTTTAAAATTTTTACAACAACCTCTTGAACTAAGAAATGATTAATGTAATTATTATCATTATTTAACGCTTAAAATATTATTAAGTGATATAAATTAAAGAACATTTTACACCGAAATCAGTTCATTTCCAGTCTTTGTTTAGAAAACAAGCCTACATGATGGAAAAGATTTTGATATTTATCGTTATTACTACCATAGCAGTAAGTATATAAAATTGTACAGCAAATCGTAAATGTATTCGCTAGTACTAGTGTGTTTGAAGATATCTTCGATTAAATGGAAATTTAATTATCATTTATTTTATTGCAGGCAGCATCTAGCGACATGGATCCAAAATGTTTTGTTAAACCGCCATATGTTGTAAGTATATACACATACAAACATACATGCATACATAAATTACCATAATTTACAATTTTTTATTTTTTCTAATCAAATGTAATTTTATTGTAGAATCCTCGTACATGTTGTTTAGATCCAACAATTGTTAAGGATGATCTACATGAGAAATGTATGCGTAAAGTATTTAGACCCAACAGATTCTCACATCCAGATCATAACGTAATGTACGATCATTCAGAAGCAAACATAATTCCAAACAATGATAATGAAAATAATGATAGTAATGGCAATAACAATGATAATAATGATCGTAATAAGCGATCAGTTGATGAAATACTTTCATCATTAGATTTTTCAGCTGAATTAGGAAGACAAGATGATTCAACAAGCAGTTCAAATGAAGAATCATTTGAAAGACGACTACATAGGAATCATCATGGACGTCATCATCATAGACATCACGGTGGTGGACATCATCGTCATGGTAAACATCATCGTGGCCGACATCATCATAGAAGACATCATCACGGTCATCACCCACATCAGTCTTTTAATGGAAGAAACAATTTTGATCATAGATATGAAATTCCAAATGAATATGATGATACTTATGTACCAGTATTTCATAGAGATTTTTCAAGATGGACTAGTATTTCAGCTAGATTCCAAAAATTATCAGTGAGTATTAATTTTGAAAAGAGAAATATTTTCAGATTTTTATCTATTATGTTATGTACAACTGTTGCGTTATTTATTATCTACATAGCACAATACATGAATTTACTTCTGTTTATTAAATTTGAATAAAAAATACTGAACAAATGGAATCTTATTTAATTTTTAGATTTATTGGAGCTGTATATTCAATGAAACTGGCATTATAGACGATCAACATAATGTAATATTGCCAAATGTTAAATCATATTTAAGTCAAGTTTTAGATGAAGATAATCCATTTTTACCTGTAATGGAAGAAGCTTTCCACGATTGTAAAGTAAAACGTAAGTACAAAATGTTAAATTTTACTGACTTTTTCACAGTCAATGTTTTTTTAATACTCCTGTATAGGCGAAGAATTCATGGAAGATTTAAAAATAGCTAAAGAACATTATATTTTGGATAGTACACCATTAGAAAGACAAATTTATAGAAAAGAACATCCATATTTCAATATAAATACTGATAAATATGATCAGAAAAATCATGCTTATTTCTTAATAAGGTGCGTTAAAAGGATGTCGTATAAAAATTGTCCAGATGATAAATTCCGAACTGATGATAAATTATGTAGTAAATCAAGAGCATACCTCAAAACTTGTCCATATGCTGGCCGACAATATTATCTTAAAAATTAAATGAGAATCGAACTGTAAATTTGAATAATAATAATTTGTGTTTAATTACGAATTTCTATTATTTACGTAAATTCTGAAAATATTTTGAATCCGAAGGCTGAAAAACAGAATCGTTAAAATTCTAATATTCTAAAGTTAAAATTCTTTTAAAATTATGACAGCATATAATAACTTGATTTCAGTAATATTGAAATATGAATACAAATTTTGTAATCTGTTTAACTATATTCTTATTTAGTCACTGAAAAATCAAAATAAAAAATTTTAAAAATGAAGAAATTTTGTTTTTTTTTTTTACAAAAATTTTTCTGCAATTTTTTTTTAAATTTTCATTAAACGAGAAAAAAATAGAGTTGATCGTGTCAACTCTGTGATACCCGTACGAATTTGATATCCTATGTGTGAATAAATATGCCATAGCTAATATCTGACAGACTATTATCAAATTAATTAATGTGAAATTTCAGTACTGTGTTTTCAATATTTTCAACAACAAGAAATTATGATACGGCCAAACAAGAAATTTCAACGATTTTTATCACATATAACAAAAAATACACTTGTTTCATGAAATTTGTATATTATAGCCCTAATAATTTCTGAGATAATGTCAAATATCTTTTGGAGCTATCGCAGATGCTCACAAAATCAAAACAACTTTCAATGAATTTTGTCAAACGCAATGGCCCTAATAATATATTTTATTGTGTGAAATTTCAATACTATAGCTTCAATAGTTTCTGAGATATAGCCAAATAAATTTTGAAGTTGAATTACCTCAATTACATCCAATATAACAACCAACAAGTACCTCAATTACATCCAATATAAATAGGTTTCTGGTGTTTACTATAATTAATCATTTGGGAAAATTTGGTGAACTTAGCTCAATTAGTTTAGTCCAAAAATATTTTTGCTACAGCTTATTATGATATATTGGCAGAATCTGTGCACTCCCAGTGATCACAAAAAACAGTTAAAATCGCTCTATCTCTTCTAGTTTAGCCAGAAAACGCGTTTAAGTTTTCCAAAAGTTTTTTTAAATATCTCCAAAAATATTTTTGGTACAGCCCATTATCATATATTGGCAGAATCTGTGCACTCCCAGTGATCACAAAAAACAGTTAAAATCGCTCTATCTCTTCTAGTTTAGCCAGAAAACGCGTTTAAAGTTTTCCAAAAGTTTTTTTAAATATCTCTAAAAATATTTTTGCTACAGCCCATTATCATATATTGGCAGAATCTGTGCACTCCCAGTGATCACAAAAAACAGTTAAAATCGCTCTATCTCTTCTAGTTTAGCCAGAAAACGCATTTAAAGTTTTTCAAAAGTTTTTTTTAAATATCTCCAAAAATATTTTTGGTACAGCCCATTATCATATATTGGCAGAATCTGTGCACTCCCAGTGATCACAAAAAACAGTTAAAATCGCTCTATCTCTTCTAGTTTAGCCAGAAAACGCGTTTAAAGTTTTCCAAAAAAATTTTTTTAAATATCTCCAAAAAAATTTTTGCTACAGCCTATTATCATATATTGGCAGAATCTGTGCACCAGTGATCACAAAAAACAGTTAAAATCGCTCTATCTCTTCTAGTTTAGCCAGAAAAGGCATTTAAAGTTATCCAAAAGTTTTTTTTAAATATCTCCAAAAATATTTTTTCTACAGCCTATTATAATAATATATTGGCTGAATCTGTGCACTCCCAGTGATCACAAAAAGCAGTTAAAATCGCTCTATCTCTTCTAGTTTAGCCAGAAAACGCGTTTAAAGTTTTCCAAAAGTTTTTTTAAATATCTCCAAAAAAATTTTTGCTACAGCCTATTATCATATATTGGCAGAATCTGTGCACTCCCAGTGATCACAAAAAACAGTTAAAATCGCTCTATCTCTTCTAGTTTAGCCAGAAAAGGCATTTAAAGTTTTCCAAAAGTTTTTTTTAAATATCTCCAAAAATATTTTTTCTACAGCCTATTATAATAATATATTGGCTGAATCTGTGCACTCCCAGTGATCACAAAAAGCAGTTAAAATCGCTCTATCTCTTCTAGTTTAGCCAGAAAACGCGTTTAAAGTTTTCCAAAAGTTTTTTTAAATATCTCCAAAAATATTTTTGGTACAGCCCATTATCATATATTGGCAGAATCTGTGCACTCCCAGTGATCACAAAAAACAGTTAAAATCGCTCTATCTCTTCTAGTTTAGCCAGAAAACGCATTTAAAGTTTTTCAAAAGTTTTTTTTAAATATCTCCAAAAATATTTTTGCTACAGCCCATTATCATATATTGGCAGAATCTGTGCACTCCCAGTGATCACAAAAAACAGTTAAAATCGCTCTATCTCTTCTAGTTTAGCCAGAAAACGCGTTTAAAGTTTTCCAAAAGTTTTTTTTAAATATCTCCAAAAATATTTTTGCTACAGCCCATTATCATATATTGGCAGAAACTTTGCACTCCCAGTGATCACAAAAAACAGTTAAAATCGCTCTATCTCTTCTAGTTTAGCCAGAAAACGCGTTTAAAGTTTTCCAAAAGTTTTTTTTAAATATCTCCAAAAATATTTTTGCTACAGCTTATGATCATATATTGGCAGAATCTGTGCACTACCAGTGATCACAAAAAACAGTTAAAATCGCTCTATCTCTTCTAGTTTAGCCAGAAAACGCGTTTAAAGTTTTCCAAAAGTTTTTTTTAAATATCTCCAAAAATATTTTTGCTACAGCCTATTATCATATATTGGCAGAATCTGTGCACTCCCAGTGATCACAAAAAACAGTTAAAATCGCTCTATCTCTTCTAGTTTAGCCAGAAAACACGTTTAAAGTTTTCCACAAGTTTTTTTTAAATATCTCCAAAAATATTTTTGCTACAGCCTATTATCATATATTGGCAGAATCTGTGCACTCCCAGTGATCACAAAAAACAGTTAAAAGCGCTCTATCTCTTCTAGTTTAGCCAGAAAACGCATTTAAAGTTTTTCAAAAGTTTTTTTTAAATATCTCCAAAAATATTTTTGGTACAGTCCATTATCATATATTGGCAGAATCTGTGCACTCCCAGTGATCACAAAAAACAGTTAAAATCGCTCTATCTCTTCTAGTTTAGCCAGAAAACGCGTTTAAAGTTTTCCAAAAGTTTTTTTTAAATATCTCCAAAAATATTTTTGCTACAGCCTATTATCATATATTGGCAGACTCTGTGCACTACCAGTGATCACAGAAAACAGTTACAATCGCTCTATCTCTTCTAGTTTAGCCAGAAAACGCATTTAAAGTTTTTCAAAAGTTTTTTTTAAATATCTCCAAAAATATTTTTGGTACAGCCCATTATCATATATTGGCAGAATCTGTGCACTCCCAGTGATCACAAAAAACAGTTAAAATCGCCCTATCTCTTCTAGTTTAGCCAGAAAACGCGCTTAAAGTTTTCCAAAAAAAATTTTTTTAAATATCTCCAAAAAAATTTTTGCTACAGCCTATTATCATATATTGGCAGAATCTGTGCACTCCCAGTGATCACAAAAAACAGTTAAAATCGCTCTATCTCTTCTAGTTTAGCCAGAAAAGGCATTTAAAGTTTTCCAAAAGTTTTTTTTAAATATCTCCAAAAATATTTTTTCTACAGCCTATTATAATAATATATTGGCTAAATCTGTGCACTCCCAGTGATCACAAAAAGCAGTTAAAATCGCTCTATCTCTTCTAGTTTAGCCAGAAAACGCGTTTAAAGTTTTCCAAAAGTTTTTTTTAAATATCTCCAAAAATATTTTTGCTACAGCCTATTATCATATATTGGCAGAATCTGTGCACTCCCAGTGATCACAAAAAACAGTTAAAATCGCTCTATCTCTTCTAGTTTAGCCAGAAAACGCATTTAAAGTTTTTCAAAAGTTTTTTTTAAATATCTCCAAAAATATTTTTGCTACAGCCTATTATCATATATTGGCAGAATCTGTGCACTCCCAGTGATCACAAAAAACAGTTAAAATCGCTCTATCTCTTCTAGTTTAGCCAGAAAACGCGTTTAAAGTTTTCCAAAAGTTTTTTTAAATATCTCCAAAAATATTTTTGCTACAGCCTATTATAATATATTGGCAGAATCTGTGCACTCCCAGTGATCACAAAAAACAGTTAAAATCGCTCTATCTCTTCTAGTTTAGCCAGAAAACGCGTTTAAAGTTTTCCAAAAGTTTTTTTTAAATATCTCCAAAAATATTTTTGCTACAGCCTATTATCATATATTGGCAGAATCTGTGCACTCCCAGTGATCACAAAAAACAGTTAAAATCGCTCTATCTCTTCTAGTTTAGCCAGAAAACGCGTTTAAAGTTTTCCACAAGTTTTTTTTAAATATCTCCAAAAAAAATTTTGCCACAGCCTATTATCATATATTGGCAGAATCTGTGCACTCCCAGTGATCACAAAAAACAGTTAAAATCGCTCTATCTCTTCTAGTTTAGTCAGAAAAGGCATTTAAAGTTTTCCAAAAGTTTTTTTTAAATATCTCCAAAAATATTTTTGGTACAGCCCATTATCATATATTGGCAGAATCTGTGCACTACCAGTGATCACAAAAAATAGTTAAAATCGCTCTATCTCTTCTAGTTTAGCCAGAAAACGCATTTAAAGTTTTTCAAAAGTTTTTTTTAAATATCTCCAAAAATATTTTTGGTGCAGCCCATTATCATATATTGGCAGAATCTGTGCACTCCCAGTGATCACAAAAAACAGTTAAAATCGCTCTATCTCTTCTAGTTTAGCCAGAAAAGGCATTTAAAGTTTTCCAAAAGTTTTTTTTAAATATCTCCAAAAATATTTTTGGTACAGCCCATTATCATATATTGGCAGAATCTGTGCACTACCAGTGATCACAAAAAACAGTTAAAATCGCTCTATCTCTTCTAGTTTAGCCAGAAAAGGCATTTAAACTTTTTCAAAAGTTTTTTTTAAATATCTCCAAAAATATTTTTGGTACAGCCCATTATCTCTTCTAGTTTAGCCAGAAAACGCGTTTAAAGTTTTCCAAAAGTTTTTTTTAAATATCTCCAAAAATATTTTTGCTACAGCCTATTATCATATATTGGCAGAATCTGTGCACTCCCAGTGATCACAAAAAACAGTTAAAATCGCTCTATCTCTTCTAGTTTAGC